AAGGGTTTTTTTTTTAACCCACAGCGGATCCTTCGGTGCTTCAGAGCTATGAATAAAATACGAAATAATTCGGACGTACGTTGAAAGAAAAAAATGTAAAAGAGATGTTTAATAACGGTATTAAAAGGTAATGTTTTCTTCTTCTTCTTTTTTTTAGATTCGTCTATTGTGAATAGTACGTTGAATTCCTTGCATAGGGACAATCGGTATTTCCTCGATAAATTACAGCCACGTAGACGTTGTCTATAGAAATGAGTATGTAGATACAAATGTAGCGTAGAGCAAGAAGATTTTTCAGAGACGGTAGTTTCATAGCCGAGTGGTACTTTTGTTTCTGTAGTTCATAGAGCTTTTAAACCGGTTGCCCCAGTTTCCCCTGAATTTTAATTCTAAAATATTCTACTGCTTACTTTTTTCTTTCCCTTTAACCCCTCTTATTTTTATTGCATCTCCTTTCTCTCGTCTCTTCCTTTCTTTCTTCTCTCTTCGTTCAAATAAATTAACAAATACGAGAGAACATCGACCGCAAGTGTAAAACACGAGCAATTTCGTAGAGTTGAAAAATATATAAACGCAGACGAAGATTCGGATTGTTAGCGGTTGTCGCGTATTTTTTATTCGCAATATTGATTGACGGATATCTGACAGACTGAAATACGATGTCGAAATAGATTTAGCAGAATTGACATCCGACTGTTTCTATTGTAGTATTCGTCGATCGGCATAAATTCTAAAAACAATCCACGTATTAATGGCACTTTATGTTCTATATTCCACCCTCCGATAACACTCCATATTTTAGGCTGCGTTTAAATTTCGAATGATATCTATCGTTGGACCAGTCGTAAATCGAAATTATTTCAATCGAATGTATATCGATCCACTTACTGCAATCTAACTGCAAAGACATACGCTCACGTGAAACCTTCAATTTGACACGCTGTTGATAAACTCGTTAAGACGTCCCTTTTAATCACGACGGATCATATCGTAATGCGGCTTTCTTCTCTAGGAAACTGATCAAAGGATATTAGTCAAACGTGTTTCTCTTATACATAAACGTAGATTACTTGGTCCGAGTGCAGTTCATACCGGTTAACGAGCTGACCGCATGGGGCAACACAGTTGACTTACGTCAACCATACTGGTGTTCAGCCTGTGATCTTGCATTTGCGGCTAATCAGCAGCTGCGATTGGTTTCAAAGGACTTACAGCTGGTATCAAATACTCCTAAATGCTTCTAAGGTTGATACGCAAATGATAGGGATACTGCACGGTACACCTTTGTACCGAAATAATATACCGAATCGCAGATACCCTAATTCGTGCTTACTTTACGATTCTCCTTAAAACATCGTAGCTTTAAGACTTCGCAAAAGTGTACACAAATATTCGTTTGATATTGTAATGTGACACGTTGGAATTATTAGTAAGAATGTACATTGTTAGGAAATAGGTATAATCGAAGAATGAGTACGTGAGTTACAAGACGAAATAGATAAGAACTAATGCATCGTAAACCAAGTCCTTTTCATAGCCCTGAGACTGAAAATAAATAACGATAAATAATAATAATAATAATGTAACCAATGTATATCGAACATTATGGAAATTATTTGAAACAAAAATGCTTCATTTTCAAAATGAAGGACTTGAAGTCGCGGAAACTCTCGGGATGATTTATCAGAATACTACCCATCTGTCTGACGGTTATTATTCTACGATTATTCGAAATTGATGTATACAACGCGTCAAAAGTTGTACGTTCACCTCACACACGGATGAATCTTTAACTTCATCAGCGTTTACAGTAGGTTTGCTCGAGTCGCGCCGGGGATCAACCAGAAAATGCAAGTCAGTTGGCCAATCCATTAAAACCATTTCATTGGAGACCTGCTGCGTAACGTCTATAACTCGGCTGACTTGCATTACGTCGGTGATATTTCAGGTAGCATATGCCGAACACTTATAACACTCGTCTCTTTTACACTTTTCCGCCGCGTACGCGGAATAAAAAGAAGAAGAGAGAGAGAAAGTGAATATAATCCCTCTACTCTTTCAATTAATCCAAATACAGGAGGAGAAGTTTCTACTCTGTTTCGTAACGCCGCGCACCTTTGTTTCGCGGGAATTCGCAAAAAAAAATAGAAGAATCACGTCGCGCTGTTTGGCGCAGAGTCTAAAACGCTGCAGTCGTAACTACGGCTTTTCGTTTAAAATTGCCCGATAATGGCCGTTGCGGTTTCGGATTGACGGTCGGTTCTTTTGTAGGAGAGCCAGAGTGTACGACCGTGCAAACACGCTTTCATTCGTCCATTCGTTCTCGCCCGATCCTGTCATCGAATTGTCTGCCGGACGCTGTTTCGCCCAGCACGTTTGTTCGTCAGTTTCAGCAACTTTACAAGCAATAACCGAAAGCGTTGCGGGACAGGTTTATGAGTAGGCGCGGTGGTCCTTACGCATATTCGGGTTACGCCCAACTGACAGTTTGCGGTTAGATGCTTCCGAGGCGTGCAAACTTTCCGACCCATAGGTGCTTCCTTTTATTTTCTTCCTTGTTTTTATCACAGCTGAGAAGTAAAATCGAACGAAATTCCAGGGAACGATATTTCATCCCTTATTAAAGTTCTCTCTATTTTTCTTTATCGTTGAATTATGTTTGAAGTTTAGCAGAGTAAAGGAGAGAAAATACAATGACCTGTATCCGATACGACATATCGTAACTGTACTTCTCTGTGGCGAAGAGTTTTCCGAGCTATCAAACGAACACATTGATCGATATCCGTATAAAAAGCATCCGGTGAATCTAGAATAGAACTCTAGAGTCGACGATGTATACGTAAATACATGGTAGACTAGGCGTCAAAGAGAGGAACTCCGCGATTCTTTATACACCGGGCTATTTTTAGTTGAACATCATGAAAGTAACGGACGGGGGCTTTTCATTCCACGACAGAAGAAGAGCCATATGCCGCGATTCGTTTCTATATCCACTTTATTTTATGTATCACCTCGATTTCATATTGCTATAAATAAAATCTAAATTATCGTTTGTATCGTGGCTATGTTTAGAACGAGACCGTAAGTTTCGTTGTATTCTTAAATTACCTACTTACTTCCTACGTGTGTATTTAACAACGACGATTGTACGGAACTTTTATGGCATGTCCGATGTAGAACTGCAAACAGGTCGTTCTATTCCTGGATCGAAAATACGAACAACGACCTGCGAAAGAGTTAATGAATTACCCGCAGCGATCTATGCGAACAGCTTTATGTACATACACTCCTGATCACGAGTGTTGAAATCTAGCGGATTCTCTGTCGAAATCTATTCGGATCTACTCGATTCGATTAAAATCTATTTAAATCTATCGAAACCTACGGAAATCTACCGAAAGCTAGTGAAACCTATTGATTTCTACGGAAGTCTACTAAATGTTACCCAAGTCTACTGAATTTTACCGAAATTCATTCAAATCTAGTGAATTGTATTAAAGTCTACTGTATTCTCGAAAAATTTATTGAAATCTTTTGAAACTTACGGAAATTTACTGAAAGCTAGTGAATTTTAGCGAAGTCTACTAAATTTTACTGAAATCTACTGAATTCTATTGAATTGCATTCAATTCTACTCAATTCTGTTAAAATCTACTGTATTCTACCAAAATCTATTGAAATCTTTTGAAACCTACGGAAATCTACCTAAATCTACTGAAATCTATTGAATTCTACTAAAATTTACCGAAGTCTACTAAATTTTACAGAAGTCTACTGAAATTTACAAAATCTAGCCGACGCCTACTAAAAACTAATTACTAAATGTTAAACAAGCCTCGTTATCGTTACAAGTGTAACATAAAATCGTTTAACACCCAAAATCCCTTAAAAAATTATTAAAATCCTAAAAAATAATTATTCGTTCTAAAATCTCCAAGTATATTTCTATCAACACATGACGCTAACTTTAATCATACAACCCTTTCTACACGAACACAACAGGTATCCTAATACTTGCAACCCGCGATATACACATCGCATCTCACACTCGTCAGCGAAATTCGTCTCACCTTATTACTCCTGCAACGTTAAAACAAAATTCCATTTCGCTGATGCTCGAAACGATTCACCTGTATCCGAAACGAACATCTCCGCTGACCCCTCCGGGTGACTGTCCTCATTAAAGAACAATCCGCGAAAAAGGAAAACTGTATTTCCCCGGGGTGGGGCGCGCGAGGGTGGGTTTCGCGAAGGTAAGGAACTAACAGACGAACTATAGCCGCTCTCTCCGGCTCGTTGCGCGAGTGGAACGAAGATAGAATAAGTAGGTTAACGAAATGGTCGTTCGCAAGCTTGAGATACCGCCACCAATTTCAGTGGCCCTCAACTCGATTCGAAGTTTCCCCTTAGCCGGCACACGATCCCCGTGGTAGAATTCGCCCACGAAGCGACAACAATTTTCCAGTCGGTTGTTTCCCGTTCGTGCCGCCACGCATGCATGCACAAAATGTACTTTCCGCGTAAGCCACGGAAACGGAAGATCCCCCGCTCCTTAGAAACGTCTTAGAGCCACACCGGGATTCCAGGTTGCAAACGCCCCCGGATGCACGGAAAGGAGAACGAAGGGAAAGAATTATCGGAGGAGGAGAGCGTTCGAAACGGGGTCCGGTTGATTAGCGCCGTACAAGAAAGGCATTCCATCGGTGGATTCCTCGGGAGCTGTTTTTTTCCCTACCCCTGGATCCGACCGTTTCGCTTCAGCGTTAATTGCATTATTATCGACACCAGTCCAGAATACCGTCTCTTTTTCATCGACGCTCGCGATCCTCAGTTTCGTACACCGCGTTCTTAAAAACTAGAAGTAGCTCGGGTATACTTCGAACGGTAAACAACAACTCTTTCTTTCGACAAATTGGTTAGCTAATTTTATTGTCCATGGATATAACGATCGAATCAATTACAAGTTAACGATTGAGAAAATAAACGGCGTACAATTGTGATTTTGTTTTACAAAGAGAAATATGCGATCGACTTGCAAGTTGTTCCCAGGGAAATTCCTCAATTCGTTGTCAGCTTGACAGTTTAGTATCGGGCGTACAACTCTACGTTGAAGTTGATTCCGTGTCCTCTCTGGCTCTTGAGGCGGATGGTGACGTTGTTGGATCCTGGGCCACCGTTCGTGATGCTGGCGTACGCACCGTTTCCGTTGGTTTTCTGGTCAAGAGCGCGGACCAAAGTGATACGTTCCCACTTGGACACGTTGAAAGTCCTCTCCTCGGTGACAATTTGCATCCAGACGGATTTCTTCACGATGTTTTGCGACAGCACAAGCCTGTCACCGGGTAATCTGTACCCAACGATCAAGTTGTGGGAAATGTTGGCGGCGTATTTTCCACCTTGCGGAATTGAGCTGACCTGCGTGGAAAGCACAGCAGCGGCGACAACCACCAGGAACATCATCAACTTCTGTGCCGACATGTTTGTTACTTCGTTCAAATGCACGCACTGTGTTACTTTTGCAATAGCACTTGTATCACTTCGATACTGCAGAAAGAGATTTGACTCCAACCTGCTGCTCCGCTGTTTAAATATCGCAGCCGACAAAGCTTATCAGTTCGTTGTCTTATCGCGGTGTATCTGTAACAGCCTACTTGCTCGTTCTGGAAAGATTTATTCTTAGAACCCGCGTGGTTCTACGTGAAGACGTTTCGATCTCGAGTATGTATTATCATCGATCAATTACGAGGTAAGGTAAACTCTCGTAGAATTACACGGCGATCAACTTCAAGCTGTCAGATTTCGACATAGCAGAACGTCTGAATTTCGAGCTTTCCTGAAATAACAGAAACTGATAATTCTTGTTCGATTATTTTCGTACATTTGTCACTTGACAAACTGTCACAACTGTCGTGTGTGTGTGCGCCGAAACAGTTCCGTTTACCTGGATGACTCATGTTCGCAGAGGTAATCATACACACAAGTGTTCTCCGTATCGAGCGCAAACATTCTTATCTCTCGGTGATGTTCGCAAAATATGAAAACACGTTATTACGTACACATTTTTCCCCCAAGTATCAAAAACGAACGATTGTTTTCCCTTCTCGGAAATTCATTGAACACAATAATTCACCGAAGCGATCCATATTACACAGCGATATCTTTCGAGATGCATGCGATAATCTTCATTATCAACGATAGACCGCCGTGCGTAAGGTGTTTGGCCTCAATCTTGTAATAGACGGCGATCTCTATAATTCATGAGCAACCCAACTCTATCTAATGCTGCTGCATCCTGCTGTGTGTACACTGTTCACATGCACACGCACACGCCCTTCGATTCTATGCACCTTCGATAGGTTGCGTTCGCAAACTCACCGTATGAGGCCTTTCAAACCATCCACCTGACGTATTATCGAACAGTACAACCGTACTATTGCTGCGTGGAAATTACACGTAAAAATTATTCGAACCCACGATTACACTTGCACGATGTAAGATACTTACGCGTTCGCGTGAAAGTTACTTTTACGATCGGAAAGCCTATTTACCCTAGCTTTAACGATGTTGTTTCATTCATGTACCTCCGAGGCTACGATGCGAAGTATTAAAATTTTATTTGCCGCTAAATATTTACACAGTCTCTATTTACACGATCTCCGTACTCAATTTGGAGCAATTGTAATCGTTTGTTTTTCCTCTGTGTGTAACTTTTTCAGGCTTTTGTCGGAGGCGACGAGAGACCGCGCGCGATTTCGCAGTTGGCGCCCTACATTAACGGCCCCGGTTCGCTACAAGAGCTGAGGCCGCTTTGTCAAGGCCGTTGTAGGTTGTTTGCTCAGATGCTTGTTAACCGTGTGAGCATCCAATATGTTACCTCGTGTATGCACTTAGGTCCTGCATCGAGAGTAGATTCACTCAGATCATTAAGTCAATTACTGGATACACGATGACAGAATATCGCTGGTAACGTCCATGAAATACACTCGCAGATGGAAGTTGCACATACGTGACCGTGTTTGGGAAAAAGTCGTTCTACTTTCGACAAATTTTTCTTGTAAATCTTGGGAGAAACGATGAACGATAAATCGTGTTTGTTATTATTACTGCAGCTCGCTTCGTTAGAATTTAGACGATACAGTGATAACGTCGTGTGTTATTTATCCAACAGGCCAAGTTCCATTTCATTGTATAACAATTGGAAGATTTTTTGAATTGGTCAACGGAGCAATTAAAAAAAGAGCAAACCTTAACCCTTTCGTTACTATTGGCGCCTATACGCATTTTGGAGTCTGTTGGTACACTTCCACCCTAATTTCATTCTTTGCATTCTTCCGCCTTAATTTAAAAAACCGAATTCTGAAGCGATACGTTCAAAATAAGAAATTTTTCAGTCGTGGTTAGGAATTGACCGTCAGTCGCTCAAATTACGCATTGAAATCTGCCGCGGCGAAAGGGTTAATTAACCCCTATGTCGATAACTCGCTTGAAATATTTGATCTTCCCGGTAAAAGATTTGAATATCCGGCGAGATCGTTAATTCGCACATTTCCTATCCGTGTTTGTATCGAGTTTAGAATTTTGTTATCAGAAAACTACTAAAACTGGACGATAGAGTAGACGAAAATTGTGGTTACTGACATAAGGGGTGTTACGAAAATTCTAGAAATGTGTTTGATGTCGTTTTATTTAATGTTTAGTTCGAGCGGGTGCGGGTACATCGGTTTTATACTAGTTTTGGCACCTTGCTTCCGACCAATCAATGGTCAGGAAAAGGGGCCTGGAGTCGCAAAACAATAATGTTAATAATAAAATTATAATAGTATCTAATTACAATAATGTTAATAATAATATTAAAATAGTATGTAATAACAATGTGTGGAGGAAAGGCAGTGGGTTCGTAACAGGGGTTAAAATAAATAAACCTCGCAAAATCGAGAATACGCATTTCTCGTGCAAATTAGTCACGTCACAGACGTGTGTATTCGGCCAGATCGTTGTTATTTGGCACATTTCCTATCCGTGTTTGCCTCAAGTTTAGAATTTTGTCGTCAGAAAACCACTAAAATTGGATAAGGGGTTAAAATAAATAAACCTCGCAAAATAGAAAATACGCCTTTCTCGTGCAAATTAGTCGCGTCACGATCGTGTGTATCCGGCCAAATCGTTGTTATTTGGCACATTTCCTATCCGTATCTATTGCAAGTTTAGAATTTCCTTATCAGAAAACTACTAAAATTTGACGATAAAGTAGACAGCAATTGTGCTTATCAACATAAGAGTTAAAATAAATCTTAACCTTCTTTAAAACAAAACAGTCGTGCAAGTTAGTCGCGTCACAATCGTGTGTATCCGGCCAAATCGTTGCTTCACACATTTCCTATCCGTGTCTGCCTCAAGTTTACAATTTCCTTAGCAGAAAGCTACTAAAATTGAAGAACAAAAGTAGACAGTTCTGCTTACTGACACAAGGGGTTAAAATAAACAAACCTTACAAACCATAAAATCCGCCTTTCTCGTGCAAATTAGTCACGTCAGAAGCGTGTGTCTTTAATCCAAATACATAAACCGAGCGGCGCTTTCATACAACCCAATGAATGATGAACAAGTTTCGCTCTGATTCATTTTACCGGTAGCACTGTGTGTATATATACATATACATATACATGTTTATGCTTAGGTGGTTCTCGCGTGTCTAGCCGCCACGTCCTCCGGTTTCTAAGTATAGACGTGCATATTCCACGAGGACACCACCATCGAAGACTTACTTTCAGGTGCCTCCACCGACGCTTCCTACATTCACTCGTTCGTACACCCATGCCACACAGTTGATGTAGACGTACAAGGAGAGGAGAGAAGAGGTTCGACTTCCTACCCATGGACGATGGTGTACGATGCGAGTGGGCTCGCATTATTCATTCGACGGACAAACCGTTGGGCTACTCGATCTCTGGCACCTGTCTCGAGCATGCCGGACAGAAGATGCTCCGAGAGTCTGCATATCAGCCAGCACGACGCTTTTACCATTAATTATCTGGTTGTGTACTTCGGAAATCCGAACCTGGTCTCGATTTCAACCGTCTTAACGAGCTACACCGGGGGTTAATGCTGATCCTATAGGAGTAGGAGGAACGCTGAAGAGGTTGCGAATCCTCTTTCGTAGCCACTCTAATCGTCTACCGACGAGACGACATCACAGATCCACGGATGGATCGCGACAAATTTTCCGTGTCGGTCATTTGAGAACGATCGAACGCTGCTTCCTCTCTGTGTGTATCTCGTCGCGATCGAACGTTATCGCGTATCGTCGAATAATTAATACGTTACGGTGAAATTTAATTGGATTATGATAAGAAGGATGAATGGGTTTTCGCTGGAGATCGATAACGCGATACAGCGGGGGAAATTTCAGTGGAACAACGTTAATTATAAATTGCTTTCGGAGAGCTGGGCGAAACGAAAGAATCGCGGGTGGGTGTGAGAGGTTAGGAAGGAAAGGGATAAAGGGGATAATGAACGTTGAGGTCACCGGTTAGGACAATTAGGCGAACAGAAAAGTTCCATCGCGGTTTCGTAGCTTCCTGACCACCCCTATAAGAGTCAGAATGACAGCTACTAGTTTTCTCCATTACACCAAAGTCTGGCCGTATCCTTCCGCGAATTAACATATTATATCGGACTTACAGTGGCGCGGAAAAGGTTTCATAAGTCAGGCGACCGGTATCTGTGAGTAATCGATAAAGTTGCTTATTTTTATCGATTATCCGAACGTTCTGCACACTGGGTGTTTGTGTTATAGCTAAACATCCAACGTAGAATCGGAGATAGTCTGTTTCTTTTCTTCGAAACATACTTTACACCGGATTCTTAATTACGGATTGCTTCCGAGAAAGATATGGCACGGATGAAAATCGAACTCTCGGTAATACATATCTTCGTTGATCGATTATAGATTGCGTACACAGTTCGATATCGCGGCGTTTCGTTGTAAACGCGAAATTTCGCGTTCGTAGAAAATGATTGTTGCAGAGGTAATTAAACAGGCACGATCGATCGTACGCGCGGCGCTATGTTTATTTCGAATCGAAATAGTGTATCATGAATCCGTTATTCGCTGATGATACATTATGAAGAGAAACTCAGCTGCATCGAGCCACGATAGTTCTGGTTTATGGTGTTCCCCGTACACCTGTATATGCGCTGACCGCGTATATTTGTACACGTAATTTGCATTCGTCACGATACGATAAGGTTAAATAGTTGCTCCCGTCAGCCGCAATCCCAACATTCTAAACAATCGATTCGCCCGTATTATTACGTTCAACCGTAACAATCTATCAGATTCTTGTCCACTGTTATTACTCTCATCTTCCCCGCTGCCCGCTTAGAGAGGTGTGTACCCGTAATTACGGAATCAATAAACGAACGTATAATTCAGAGGTGAAAATTTGGAAAAAGGCCAAAACGAGCGGAAAACGAGCGTGTAACAAAGCTTCATTAACCCACGATTATCGTCTGTTTTCCATTCTTTATTAATTAATATATAATTTGTTTCATAATTTGTCACGATTAGACT